TCTTTACACATCCTGCAAGTTGGCAGTTGGATCTAGATTCTCAACCAGATTCAGGATTGTTTGTCACTAAATAGGCCGTATGTGGTATGACACACTTTCCGGGTCATCTCAAATGATACTTCTTTCATGAGGCTCAAATTGCCTTTCCTGCCCATCTTCCAAGATAAACAAAAGGAAACATAAAAACCGGACATTCTTTCTCCTTTCTTGAACTCCTCATGGCAACAACCACAAAGCAGCTTCCTATCTATACCTCTCCTATCACCCATCTGACTAGAAACTCCTCAAACCCCAAGGAGAGTCTTATCAGAGTTTGAAACCACAGGCGTCCCTGCCACAGTTCCTTAAATAGAGCAAATTTGCATTAGGTACTACTTGGACTGAACTCCAGTTTTCTTTTTTACCTTTTTTGGGGAAATGATTAAGCATATAAAAGCCTGTGGTTCAAGCCACATCTTTGATTCTCCTTCAAAAATAGCATTAATTGAACATAACTAATATTTCAGGAAAAAGATACTACTGCTATCATCATTTTATTTATATCTCATGGTGCATATTTAATCTATTTCAGATTCTTTTCCTAATCCTAGATGACTAACATGAAAAGTAGCACACTGTAATTCTAAATAAAGATTGGTTGTTTTTGTTTTTTAAGATTTTATTTATTTATTGACAGAGAGAGACGCAGTGAGAGAGGGAACACAAGCAGGGGGCAGTGGGAGAGGGAGAAGCAGGCCTCCCGCCGAGCAGGGAGCCCGATGCGGGGCTTGATCCCAGGACCCTGGGATCATGACCTGAGCCGAAGGCAGATGCTTAACGACTGAGCCACCCAGGTGCCCCAAAGATTGGCTGTTTTTTTTTTTTTTTTTTTTAAGATTTTATTTATTTATTTGACAGAGAGAGACACAGCGAGAGAGGGAACACAAGCAGGGGGAGTGGGAGAGGGAGAAGTGGACTTCCCACTGAGCAGGGAGCCTGATGCGGGGCTCGATCCCAGGACCCTGGGATCATGACCGGAGCCGAAGGCAGACGCTTAACAACTGAGCCACCCAGGCGCCCCAGATTGGCTGTTTTTTAAAAGGGAAAATAAAATTTAAAAATAGGGGTTCAAGAAGTCAGGCACAAGGTTTAAATGAGGAAAATAAAGGTGCTACTTTCTACAACTCTCAAGGTTAACACTGTGGCGAACAATTGATATTCTTCATGTAAGAGAAAAGTTCTATCAGCCTACTGAACCTAATTATAGAGATTACAGTGCATAACCACACACAATCAACCACAACCCAAGTGTTTCTAGTAAGTGCCAGTGAATATATTATTTTTAAGAATTTATACAATTCTTACAAAAGAAAAACAGGGCCCCTGAGTGGCTCAGTCGGTTAAACGTCTGCCTTCGACTCAGGTCATGATCCTGGGGTCCTGGGATCGAGCCCCAGATCAGGCTCCCTGCTCAGTGGGGAGCCTGCTTCTCCCTCTCCCTCGGCCTCCTCCCCCCTGCTCATGCTCATGCTCCATCTCTCTCTCAAATAAAATCTTTAAAAAAAAAAAAAAGAAAAAAAGAAAAGAAAAACACTAGAAAAATAACCATTTAAGGCTATGGTGACTGTTTCTTGGAGACTCTTCTAAAATATGCCTTTTTTTTTTTGAGATTTTATTTATTTATTTGAGAGAGAGTGAGAGCGAGAGAGATTACAGAGGGAGAAGAAGAGGAGAAGCAGACTCACTGCTGAGCAGGGAGCCCGATGTGGGGCTAGATCCCAGGACCCCAGGATCATGACCTGAGCCGGAGGTAGACGTATAACCCACTGAACCACCGAGGTGCCCCTAAAATATTCCTGTTTCTAATGGGTGATTTTTCTTTATATCTAATCACTGACTGACTTAACAGCCTGTTCTTAAAATCAAGCTGCAAAATCGTTTTTCTTTTTCTTTTTTTTTTTTTAAGATTTTATTTATTTATTTGACAGAGACACAGAGAGAGAGGGAACACAAGCAGGGGGAGCGGGAGTGGGAGCAGCAGGCTTCCTGCCAAGCAGGGAGCCTGATGCAGGGCCCAATCCCAGGACCCTGGGATCATGACCTGAGCCGAAGGCAGATGCTTAACGACTGAGCCACCCAGGCGCCCCAAGCTGCAAAATCTTTTAAGGGGTGTTGGTAAAGATACTACTTCACTAACAAAAGTTGCAATCATATAGAAATGTAAGGAAGGTTTTAGGGTTCCATTTTTGTTTTTGTCACCTTAACTTCAAGTAAGGTTAGGAAAACTCTGACCCATTTTCACCAACCAAGCAATCACTAGCAGCATCCTTCCATCCACTCTCCTTCCACAGGCACCCCATATTTTCTAGTCTTTTTTCCTCCCACAACTCCCCCTCTCATTCCCTTTTCCTTGAGTCTGACTCCTCAGCCTATAGCAAGGGCACTTTTATAGTAATTTAGCCTTCCTGTGGGACTCAAGGATTAAAAAGTTTTCCCTGGTATCTGTCAGAGTAAACAAACAAATACATTATTAATCGGAAAAGATCCACCACCAACAACTGCTTTTCCCTAAAAGATGTAGTAGGAAATATATTTTTTAAACTCCACGATTTTATTTAATTAATGAAAAGCTACTCTTTAACGGATAGGTCTGCTTTTATCAATTACCAACATCATTATTATTAGCAGGGTGTTCATTATGATGCATAACATGTTATGTGCAGTAAGTGATCTACATGCTTTATTTCATTTAATCCTCACAATAGGCCCCAATATGACAAATGAAAAAAAAAACTGAAGCATAGAGGTGTTAAGCAATTTGCCCAAGGGCAAATTATAAATAAATGGCAGAGCCAGGATTGAACCCAGAGCTCTTTGACTTTTAGCTTCTTGGCTAGAGTGTGTTACTTTTCTTTTCTTTTCTTTTTTTTTTAAGATTTTTATTTATTTGACAGAGAGAGACACAGCGAGAGAGGGAACACAAGCAGGGGGAGTAGGAGAGGGAGAAGCAGGCTTCCCGTGGAGCAGGGAGCCCGATGTGGGGCTCGATCCCAGGACCCTGGGATCATGACCCAAGCCGAGGGCAGACGCTTAACAACTGAGCCACCCAGGCGCCCCATAGAGTGTGTTACTTTCCTAATACTCTTATGGTTTTATAACTTTGATGTAAGAGGTCTATTATTAATTCATTCAACAAATAACTGAGTTTTACTGAACATCTGCTATTGTGGTAAGCAATGGGATAAAAGTAAAATCCAAAACAGACTGACATATAAAATCACAAGAGCACTAATAACAGTTGAATATAATTAACACAAGCATAAATGTTACTTATAAATCAATCTGAACTTGGCTGATGAGAAGATTTCTGGGAGATTTCTACAGTAAGAAAGACCATTAAAACAGCTAACTTTGAATGACAGGTGCTCATTACTCATTCACCTCCCCTCTTGTTTCTCTATGTTCCCACAAAGGCCCAGGGGTTCTGACAGTTTTTCAGCATCAGTAACATTTTAAACAGTAACATATTGCATTTCTGAGAAGAATCAGAAATGCTCCAAGATGAGATTTCTGGACTATGCAAACATTAACTTAGACTTACTATTAAAATACTAGAAAAAAAGCATGCCTCATCAACGCCAAAAGTCACCTGGGAAGAGTGCAGATCAGTAAGAGTGCTAGAAAAGTGCTGGAAACCATGATCATACTTAAAGACAGGGTGACAATTGTGCTGCCTGGGCCAGTAATGCTCAGTGCTTCCCTTAGTAATGGAATTCAGTCAAAGGTGGCTCAAAGAGCCATGTAAGCTTCAGTTTCCATGGGGAGAAGAGAAGGCCAAGATGCCCAGACGAAGAACCTCTAAGAGAATCTGGGATTCTCCCCCAATTCCCATCATTGACAAGTAGGCCAGCAGCAGGGCCATGCAGGGTGAAACTAAGGCTTCCTTCTTACATAATCCAAAACCCGGGGTCTGGACTAAGAGATTCCTTAAAAGCCCAGCCAGAAGCATAGGCATCTCTACATAGAGAAACTTCCATAGGTTGTTTTTGCTGATTCTAGACAGTTGCCTGGTGTTATTCCACTGCTAACAACATGTTCAACCACTGGGCTGAACTTTTATGTCAACTTACCTTGTGTACAAAAGGCAACAGAAAAGAGACTAAATGCTGACAATCACAAATTTATCAATAAGCCATCCAATGTACTTTATTTTAAAAACACTTCTATAAATGCTGATTTATTTACTACCCATTTCAGTCTCAACAAGTAAATACCAAGTAATAAATGTAGTTCTCATTTAGAAGCGATACAAGTAAAAGTTTATTACACGCACTGCTTATCTTAGCCCTACCTATTTCTAGAAGAGTGTCCTAAGAACCTGGGGATATTTACTGGAGGATGAGGAGGACTAGAAAATGAGGAAATTTACAACTGCTACCATATTACAACAGAATAAACACGCAGTTCTTTTAAGAATATGAGAATTTTCACTTTTTTCTAATTTATGTTAAAAGTGGTAATGTGGGGGCGCCTGGGTGGCTCAGTTGTTAAGCGTCTGCCTTCGGCTCAGGTCATGATCCCAGGGTCCTGGGATCGAGTCCCACATCGGGCTCCCTGCTCGGCAGGAAGCCTGCTTCTCCCTCTCCCACTCCCCCTGCTTGTGTTCCTGCTCTTGCTATCTCTCTCTCTGTCAAATAAATAAAATCTTAAAAAAAAAAAAAGTGGTAATGTGCTTCTATCAGAGATTTCAAGGTAAACACAAAAAAAATCATAGCTGCATTTCATGTTCTACCACTTACCAATTTGCCCTTCTATAACCTTGATTGATCCAAATTATTTTACAATTTAAATATTTTTGTCTGAAGCACTGGCACCAACACCAACATTTTAAATTTTAATTCCTGCTACTTTAGAGAACCTGTCTTAATCTCTTAACTAAATTTAAAACTTCACATTATACATGTGGCAAAGGGTGAATCTGATGTCTTGGCTTAAAATGTCATAAAAACATGTTAAAGTACCTTTTAATAGGGACACTTTAGCAAGAGGTTCATTTAGGTCTTGCTCATCCATTTGGGCGTCTGCAGGGGGCAAAAAAGATAATTACAAACAGTAGTTAGCTCCATCCTCAAGCTATCACTATCAAAATAAACAACTGAAACTTATACAGCTATCGTACCTGGATAGTTGAAAGTAATTTTAACAATATATCCAAGATTCAAGGGAGTTAACTTAGAAAATGGAGACTGCTTCCCCCCCCCCAACACAAACTTTTAATCTCCACCCACATTAACCTGTATATTTAAACTGCTCAGCCAATAACAGTAACATCCGTAAGATTTGCAAATATTCGGTTACAACTCACCTGTAGTGTCGTCACTACTTTTTTCCTTGCTTGGACTCAGAGTATCTGACAAATCAGATTCTTTTGCTCTTGCCTGATTTGCTACCAAGAAAAAAATGAAAGTAGAATCTCATTACAACTATATCAATAAAACTGCTTTAGGCTTTGAGTGCTCTAAATCTACTGATATGCAAAATACTTTTAAAATTAACTGAGGTCACTGAGTCTCTTACTTCTTCACCACTCTAGTCCAAAATGGAATGCTGGTTATTACACGTGGCTCATACTAAATTATAATGTGGATCATGTCTGCTGTGCAGAGGGCTGGGGCTTTTGTCAAGGCTGTCCACTGGCCAACCAGAAACAAAAATGAAGCAAGCTTTGCTAAAGTATTCAGAGAACTGCAACAAATATAGCAAAATTCCAAGACAATGTGGACACTGTATGAAGATGATGCAAGGAAATGGCTCTCTTATATAAAAACACTAGCTAGGTTGCCTTAGCAATAGTTATACTTAGTAATATTTATATTTATATAAAACTCTAAAATCACAACTGTTATAAAAATGACATTTAAAACAAGAAAATTACAACCTTTTTTAACTTAAAAAAATATAACTGTACCTGAACCACATTGAGAAAGACTCAAAAAAAGTTTTGGGATTATTTGCAAGTGGTGCGCTGCCTAGCCAATGAAGACATCGTAGGCCTTGTTTTCAACAAGTTGCTCTCAAATATCCTAACTATTAGCCCAACAATTTATTAAAGATGACTGACAATTAATTAGGCTGTTGATCCTTATCTACAATTGCACACCTGTGTGTATTATGGCATGCATTAGAATAGCGTTTACAGAGATGGTCATTTCTCTGACCAAAATCCTACAGCATCTCCCCATTCTCCACAAGGCTCAGCCAAACTTTACATCCCAGGATTTAGCTATAATTTGGTCCCTGAATTAATTCACACATGAGCTCCGTTTCAGTCAGGCTAGCCTCTTTACAGGGCTGAGAAATGCTGGCTCACTATGATCTCCAATTCTTTGCTTGAGTTGGTATTTCACTAAACTCAATGACCATTCTCTCTACTTGACCTATTCAATCTGTGAGATACAGCTTAAGCCCCTTCACCTCTAAGGGGGTCTTCATTTCTCCAGCATGCTGCTCCTTTTTATTGTATCTTCTCTGTGTCCTATGATTTTGTAATTAATCATGTTCTATTTTATATCATTCTATGTGTATTTATGTATCTTATTTCTTTAGATTATAAATTCATTGAGTATATGATTATTTTTTATAATTTATGGCTGTTGTTTGTGTAACACACATCAAAAATTTAAATATGCATATCCACTTCTAGTACTTTTCCAAAGGAAAAACAGACTACATATAGTATATATAAGGATGTTCACTGCAGCATTGTTCATTATGGAATGGAAAATACTTGAGATATATTTCTTACTATTGAGTAAAAATAAAGGTTGTTAAAGAACAGTATGTATAACGTGATCCCATTTAGACTGAAAATAGGTATATATTTAGCTATGAATTTTCAGCTGTGCATATTTACTCAAGTCTGGAAGGATCCACAACAGAGATACCAATTGTCATTTCTGGAGGTGGGGACATGGCAGATATTTACTAACTTCATATTGTCATACATTTTTGAAAATTGTTAATATATATTGTTTTATAACCAACTAAATCAAGAGATATTTTCCATTTTGAAAGTAATCAGAAACGTATCTAAAACCATTAATTAATATTAAAATATATTTAATACAATATTAAAATATAACTTCTTATGGCTATTTCATTAAGAACATCCCTATAATTTGAAGTAGGTGATAGATTACAAGAAGCCTTTTGCTTCTTTTTTTCACTGCCATTTCTAGTCAAAGGCCAACTGCTGAGAGACACAGAGCTTAGATTAGAAGTGAAGTCACTGACCATGGAGACCCATGGGAATCCAATCTGTGACCTCTGGCGCATTCAGTGTGCTATAATCAGACATTTCTGAATGTTCTAGTTTTAATCACAAAGTTACAGTCTCAAACAAGCCAGGCTAATACATCTAATCTATACATAGATGGAAAAGGAACCATTCTCAGAGAATAAAAAAATGACTCTCTTCTGATTTTAATATTCTTGGCAATTTTATCAAGATATTGAGGTAAACCAAGAAGAATATGTTCTCAAAAGGATTCTTCTGGCTTAGGAGGAACTTTTATTTTATATTTAGAGTATTAGCCAGAAAGGTAAAATTAAAGGTGGGACCAAATCTTCCATTAAGATCTTACTAGAATATAAGTACCACGAGGGCAGGGATTTTTGTCTGTTTTGTTGACTGCTATATCCTCATTGCAGAGAACAGTGTACAGTACATAGTACATAGTAGGTGCTCCAAAAAGAGATATTTGAAGGCAAGAATCTATTTTGAATAAGAAGACAAGTCAAATCATGGCCTATCATTGTTATGTCCTGAAATTATAACTGTTATATGGAGGCAAACCAAATCTATTCAAGAATGAAACACAGGACACAACAAATGAGAGGTAGAGTATCTCCTCCTTTTCAAAACATCCATTCTTTACCTATGAAGTGGCACCCAACTTTCTAGTATTAAAAAGTCCTTGGGGCGCCTGGGTGGCTCAGTCGTTAAGCGTCTGCCTTCAGCTCAGGTCATGATCCCAGGGTCCTGGGATTGAGCCCCACATCGGGCTCCCTACTCGGCGGGAAGCCTGCTTCTCCCTCTCCCACTCCCCCTGCTTGTGTTCCCTCTCTCGCTGTGTCTCTATCAAATAAATAAAATCTTAAAAAAAAAATTAAAAAAAAAAATCCTTACTGGTTGATTTTCTATGCAGTACTTAATCATTAAGATACATACCAATAATATATAGAAGGAAACAGAAGAATAGCTACCAACATCAATACCAAAACTGTTCCCAAACTGGAAAGTCTAAAACAACGTGAGTATTTTCACTGTATCTCTGAGAACACATAATGATGGATGGGCAAAACAAACATACTGGCCACAGACCACTTCCTAACACCAATGGAACCATTAGTTGGAAAGAAAGCAAGAAGGGAAATGAGAATTAACATTTGTCAAATACCAGAATAATGCTTCTTGCTTTATAAGCAACATTTCATTAAATTCCCAAGTTAAATATTGTCAATTCCATTTTACAAATGAGGAAACTGAAGTTTAAAGAGTAAGTTGCCTGAGGGCATATAGCTAGTTAGTTGTGGAACCTGGATTTGCAACCATCTGTTTTACCTATTAGTATTCTTTCTACTTCTACCCTAAGGCCTCTGTAAACATACAATGACTGCTAGTTGAGTGAGGGTTTAAACAGAAAGCACATGCAACCTATGATTACATTTTGCATTAGGTGAAATATCTGAAATACTAAGACTTATAATACCTGGTAATTGGCTATCTCTAGCAACTGTTATTTTCAATACAGAAAAGAAATTCTATCAAAAACATCACCCATGAAAGGCTTTTAAAAATAAAACAACTTAGACAAATCCAAAAGAAATACTTTATAGCCAGATACAAAGCATTTAAAATGTAACTTATCTCAGTCATCTAGTTTGTTACAAGGATTAGTGTACCTCTGCTCTGCATGCTAACTTTGAGAAATGCTTATAAAAAATGCTGACTGCTGACAGAAAAATCTCTGGGTATATAAAACTTGGATCTGTATTATTATTCTTAAAGGATGTATTTTATTCACTTGCATGGACTCACTTGCTATTATTTATTTAATAAATGCCCTCATTACTCGACATTTATGTTTTCCTCTTTTTGCTTTTAAAACATTGAAGCAAATACCCTTGCATATTTGTCCAATTTGTTTCTTAATATAAAAACCCAGAAGTGGAATTGCTGGATCAAAATGCATGCTCTTTAAAGCTTTTAACACATATTTTATATCCAGGTTTCAGAAGTAAATCAGTAAAGATGGCACAAATCTTTTTCAATAATGACATCACATAATTTCAAGCGAATATATTCTAATTCAGAATGCATTAAACAGAAGCACTAAAGTAGCAAGATATTTTTCTTTAATTAAAGGACTGATTTTTTTTTCTAAGGCTCTACTTCCACTTCAGTGTGCTGGCTATTCAACTAATCTGCATAGGCATTTGGGTGGTGAAGTAAAAGCTATGTTAAAATCTGTTCTCATCTCACTTTAATTAGATGAAATAAATTGCCACATGTACTAAAAATAGTTCACTGCTCTGAAACCCAATGCCTGTTTGCCAGAACAATATTAGTGATGCATATTCTATGCATTCTTTCCCCAAATATGGCATCTGCCATGCACATAATTCAGAATGGAAGCCACCAGATACTTGAAATAACATTCTCCTTTTAAATATTGTTAAAAGCCAAAATGGATCCAGTTAGTTTCATAAAACAGAATGTACTGAAATGGAGTATTCCAAACTTTTATCACTCATTGTTTTAACTGACCAAAAAGATTGTGAATCTACTTATAAACTTTATGCTAGTAGGTTCTGATGAAAGTCCTAAAATTATAATGAGCATATCATACCAAATTTATTTGTCCAATTTCCCTAATGCATAAGAGTGACTTGACAATATAATGCTTTAAAACACACTTTTCTTCTCTGACAATTGTAACAGAAGAGAACTAATAGAATAAACTATTTCAGGCAATTTTAAGACTACCCATTATAAATGTAAGAAGACGCTACATAATCACTTTTGTTTAAATCAAATTGATATGCCAAAAATTAAGATAATATTAAATTTCATAAGGAACGTTAAAGGTAGGATAATCACAGAAATAGAACGGCAAGCATTTTTCACCTGTTGTTTCAAAAAAGATTTATGTTGTGTTTAATTAAAATTTTTTATCAAATATAACAAATACCAAATATCAAAGCTGAAAATAATGCTAGAAGTGAGACAGATCAGAACAAATCTTTTAAAACCTAACAAAACATATTTCAAGCACTTTTAAGAAAAAATACATATATATACCCATTTAAAAAGAAACTTTCTAATTAAGATATCCTTCTTAAGACAGAACTCCAACTATTTTATATTAATACTGTTACTGGATTGCCATCTGGTGAGCTATAAGAAATAAATTGATGGTTAAAATACTATGACCTTGGAAATGTACACTAACCTCCATTATCCAAAAGAGTGGTCAAAACCCACAGAAAACCAACAGAAAACGAACCTTTTGAAAGCTTTGTTTCTTCTACCACTTTGGTTAGATGCCCCTCGACGATCAGCTTCTCTGCCAAAGAAAACAAATGTTACTATCCAAGCCCAAACCGAGTAGCATTTCCCTGAGCGGGGCAGTGTAACACATTCCATGACCAAATTTAAAGATGATAATATTACTCCCATGACTAGGCTTGTACAAAAACCTGAAGCTGGAAGGAGAACTAAGAAAACTCCAAACTATAATAGAGCAATGAGATTAATGCAGAAATCTGGGGGTAGGGGGGCAATTTGCCTTTAATTTTCATTAGTTTTTACCTTATCTAAAAAGCCTAGACCTTTTAAAAAAGGACTCAGAATAAACAAAGAAATCCTCTTTAAATCAAGGATATGAAGTTGAAATAAAGGAATTCTGAAAAAGTATTTATTTAAATAAAGAAGTAATATAAATTATGTTATACCAATAGTTTACTTTTCCCTATTGATACAATTCAGCAGAGATGCATATATGACATGCTTCAGTAAAACGAATCTTTTTTTTTTAAGATTTTATTTATTTATTTGACAGAGAGAGAGAGAGACAGGGAGAGAGGCAACACAAGCAGGGGGAGTGGGAGAGGGAGAAGCAGGCTTCCCGCCAAGCAGGGAGCCCGATGCAGGGTTTTGATCTCAGGACCCTGGGATCATGACCTGAGCCGAAGGCAGACACTTAATGACTGAGCCACCCAGGCATCCTTAAAATGAATCATTTTTAAAGATATTAAAACAAATACTGTTTTGTTTTGTTTTATAGGGGATTCTCTGTAAATGTATAATGTAGCTTCTTTATAATTCATTTAAATTCAGATCTCCATATTCTATATTTTACTGAGAAGGATATCTGTTCTGTATATCCCCTTATTTAATCCTGTGTGTCAGTTGGTCTCCTTGAATTTACACTTTTGCAGTATGTGAAGTCATTTCTCTATTCCTTCACTCTTCAACCCAATGCAGTTTGGTTTATGCTCCCCACTCAACCACCGAAACTGTTCCAAGATCACTATAACCTCCTCCCTGCCAAAGGCCATGGCTCCTTTTCATAATTTTTACTTTGTATAGGCTCTCTGCAGTATGTGGCACTGTTTGCCCCTGTTCCTTAAATCTTTTTTTTTTAAGTCAAAGTAATAGATTTAGATAATTTTAAAAGGCAGTCCTACAAGATGTATAATGTAAGCTGTCCTTCCCATCTTCTGTCCTACTCTGCTCCATTCTTGAAATTCACTTCCCAGAGAAGCAACTTCTCTTTCTTTTTTTTTAAGCAACAACTTTTAACTTCAAGCCATTTCTTCTGGTATTCATATTTATATTTCTAAGTAAAATACTGCTATTTCTTCACTTTTCCATTTTAGACACTATTTACTGACAATCTCTTATAGATGACTGAAAAAGGACTTAGAGTCCTTTTTTACTATCATCCTCCTAAGAGTTACATTTTGCCCATCTATACTCAGTATGTATAATATGACTATTATTTATATTTGAGTCATATGCTAAAATTATATTTCTCTGCTTGTACCTTCTTATACAATATGTAGTGATTTTGGAGCTTGCAATACCTTGTTTTATTTTACTAACTTTTTATATATCTATCTCAAACATAGCCCAAGTTGTTTTTTTTTTTTCTTTTGCCCGAGTTCTTATAGAACCATAAAAACTCTCAATACTGTCAAACATATCAGGTAATCCATCACATTATATATCCCCGTCCATCCCTTCCCCCAGCCCTTTAATATTCCTGCTCCAGTCTGGGCTGTATCCAAAATCCCCTACCCCCGGAATCCAAATCTTTCTCATCCTGTTTTATTCCCTTGTTTTAGTGTAACATATCCTCAGTTAATTTCCTGAAAGGGGGCTGACAGAAGGTAAATGCTTTGACTTTGTTCCTCTGAAAATGTTAGTGTTCTACTCTCACATTTGACTGATGGTTTAAATAGATACACAATTCTACAGGAAATAATTTTCCTTCAAAATTTTGAAAGCATTGTTCCACTGTCTTCTAGCTTCAAATGAGAAGGTGAGTCCTGTTCCTCAGTATGCATGGTAGAGACTTCCTGTGTTCAGCAAAGCCTGCTGTGCCTGCCCTTTCTGGGCACCTGGGAGACTGAATATTCCAAATACCCTAGCACTAATGAAGGTCTACATGACTGGTTCTAGCCACGGCCAAAGCATTTAAGAAAGAGTAGAAGTTTTCTATACTTCCATCTTCCCTCCATTCTAGAAACCATGTGCTGAGATGGCAAAATTCTTTATCATAAGATGGTGAAGCCTCCATGAACTTAGATCCCTGAATAACAACATGGAACAGTGTTCTCTCCTTCACCATGGACATGTAGCATGAGTGCAAAAAAATATTTGTGGAATTAAGCCATTCAGATTTCAGAAGCTTATTTATTGCTATATTATAATTTAGTTTATTACGACTAATAGAGTATGAGATCCTTTGTTTCTCTTTGGCAATTTTCAGAATCGTCTCTTTATCCCTGGTGTTCTTAAATTTCATATACTCAGAACATGGTCTTTTTCTTTTCTTTTTTTGGTGAAATTCACATAACACAAAATAATCATTTTATTTTTTTAAATTTTATTTTATTATGTTATGTTAATCACCATACATTACATCATTAGTTTTTGATGTAGTGTTCCATGATTCATTGTTTGCATATAACACCCAGCGCTCCATTCAATACATGCCCTCTTACAAAATAATCATTTTAAAGAGAACAATTCAGTGGCATTTAGTACTTTCACAATGTTATGCAACCACACCCTCCATCCAGTTCCAAAACATTTTTACCACCCCAAAAGGAAACCTCATGCTCATTAAGAATTTACTTCCCATCCTCCCTTCCCAGCCCCAGTTATTACTCGTCTGCTTTCCCTCTGTGAATTCCTATTCTGGATATTTCATATAAATACCATCACACAGTATGTGAATTTCTGTGTCTGGCTTAGTGTGTGTGTTCTAAAATATATTGTGTTGAGCGTTCAGTGCGTCCTTTCAGTTTAGAAGCTCATTATCTTCAATCCCGGGGAATTACCTTCTATTCTATTTCACTGACAAATTCTTCTCTTTTTCATTCCTCCTCTTTTCCTACTCTCTCCCTTCCCACACCCTGGAAATCTTATTATTCAGATGTTAGAGCTCCAGGACCAATTCCCTAATTTTCTTAAATTTCCCACCCTTTTTTTTTTCTTAAATAAAACCTCAAGCCAACTCTTGTCTTTTTTGTTATATTTTCTGGAATATTTCTTCTACTTTCTTTTCTTTTTTTAAATTTTTTAAATTTTTATTTATTTATTTTTTTTGCGAGAGAGAGAATGAGAGAGAGCACGAGAGGGAGGAGGGTCAGAGGGAGAAGCAGACTCCCTGCTGAGCAGGGAGCCCGATGTGGGACTCGATCCTAGGACTCCAGGATCATGACCTGAGCCGAAGGCAGTCACTTAACCAACTGAGCCACCCAGGCGCCCTCTTCTACTTTCTTTTCTAACACCAACTCAAAAAGATATATGCACCCCCATGTGCACTGCAGCATTATTTACAGTAGCCAAGATATGGAAACAACCTAGGTGTCCAGTGCTGTATGAATGGATAAAGAAATATATATATTACTCAGCCATAAAAAAATGAAATCTTGCCTTTTGGGACAACACGGATGGACCCTGAGTATATTATACTAAGTGAAATAAAAAAGTCAGACACAGAAAGACAAATACCATATGATCTCACTTACATGTGGAATTAAAAAAACCCAACAAGCTCATACATACAGAGAACAGATTGGTGGTTGCCAGAGGCAGGAGGCATGGGGGTGAGAGAAATGGGTGAAGGGGATCAAAGGGTTAAAAAAAAAAAAGACCTTAAGCATAATGCAGAACACAAAAGCCGTATGTGAAAGGACAGATAGATTTGACCTCATATAAATTAAAATTTTCTGATCAAACCCACTATCAACACAGGTAAAGGGCCAGTGACAGACATGGAGAAAATATTTAAAAAATAAAGAGCAGATAAAAGGTTATTATTCATTCATTGAACAACTAATTAGAGGGTACCTACTATGTGCCAGATACTCTCCTAGGTGCTAGAAACATTAGAATGAACAAATGACAAAATTCCTGCCCTCCTGGTTCTTACATTCTAATGGGGTGAGGAGGGAGAGATGATAAAGAAGTAAACAAGTAGTATATCAGATGGAGATTATGTAGAAAAATAAAGCACGGAAGAAGGAAAGGGAGCATGTGGATGGCAAAGATGTGAGGCCCTCCAAAAATGAATGAGAAAAAGTCAAACAACACAGCGGAAAAGGGGCAAAGAATAACAACACTGAATTCACAGGCCAAGAAAAGCAAATGTCCAGTAAATGTGAAATTTATGGTCTATCCGCTGAAACAATGCCGTGGCATTATTCGCTCATCAGTTTGGCAAACATTCAATACCAGGAGGGGTGAGTAATCTTGTGTCCTTCTGGTGGGAGTGTGAATTGGTACCATTTTTTTTTTAGAGGGCAATTTTGACAGAACTTATCCAAATGTTGAAAGCACATGTCCTCTGACCCACAGCCCCTATTCTGTGTATTACTCAGGAAAGAGACAACTGTACAAAGATTTTCAATGCAGCATTGTCTGTATTTAGGGAGGGAGTGGAATACAAATTTTTTTTTTTTTAAAGAAAAAGAACCTTTATTATTATGTTGCTTATGGAGATGCAGTCATTATGCATTAGGTGGGCATGTGACCAGGCACTCTGGGTAGCTCTATATTAAATCAACTTCATGAGGCTTTCGATCATTTTAGGGCCCTTATAGCTCTTACCATTAAATTGCTTTGCATTGTAAATGGAGAAGCTATCACTTTAATTCTGTTAAAAAGCCTATCATAACAGTGGGTTGATTATGTATCATTAAAGTATACACAGTTATTTCAGTTATTTATGACCGTTAACAAATCACCCCAAAACTTCGTGGTTTAACATAACAACCGATTATTTGCTTGGAATACAAAATTTTTATAGCTCTACCAAGAAAAAAGAAAGTA